AAGATCAATAGGAAAGTGTTTTTCCATGTTTTTTGGGGATATTTGTACGTGTCACATATACTGTTTCTTTAAAGCAGCATGCCCTTATGGGATATCTAATTCTGTTTTTAAAAACCTGTTCCAGGATTTTGCATTCCCTCTTTTAAAGCTGCACTCCCAGAAGTATGTTTAGACTATGGAGGTGGAACAGCAAGGTTAAGTGCAACTTTTCTGTTCTGATATTTCCTTCTGCATGTGAAAGTGTTCTTTGTTTTGACAAGGAATAAAATTAATAGGGGGTCTCTAGCTCATTTTGGTAATTCTCTATTTTGTTTTAAATAAGTCAACTGTACCTGTTCACTGGCAATCATCTTATTGTTTTAATGGAAGTATTCCAGTTGTTGCTGTATCTATTATGTTATTCTCTTTCTTCTTTTTGCTCCACTTCCAAAATAAAAGGCAATTGAGCAAAAATATATCCAGTATGGTGGCACTGGCTGATAAACATACTAGAGAACATAATTCAACATGCTTTATTCATTTTTCTAATGGTATCTTGTAAGCCGGGGTAGGCAACATTTTTTGGCTGGAGGGCTGAAAAAACCATGTCTACCTTGGAAGGTGCCAGAGTGCCGACATGTCAGAGCCTGGAGCAGCCGTTTGTAGCCTCCTGGCTGCAGCTGGCCCACGAAGCCTGGTCTGCTTGCAGCCTCCCAGTTGCCTGCTGGGAGCAGCCTGGGCTCCATGGCTAGCAGCAGCTGCTTAGATCCTGGGCTGGCGGTGGTGTGCCAAGCAAAATGGCCTTGCGTGCCATTCTCGGCACGTGTGCCGGGGGTTGCTGACCTATTGTAAGCTTTTCTATTTGAAGTATAGTCTCTTAAAATCAGAAAGTTTAATATGAACTTCAAGGTGTTAAAATGGTTTTAAATATTAGTAGGTATACTGTTATTACCTGTACAAATTTGTGTGTTGGCAAATAGATTTTTTCCTTATTTCCTGAATAGCAAAACTTGTATAATGAAGGCATTATTCCCTCTTTTCACTCTTCCCTTCTACCCTGCCTAGTTTCTATTTTCTCTTCCTCTTCCTTTACCACTGTCCCATTACTTCATTTGAGCAGATGCTGTTGTGTAGCTGTTCAAATTACCAAAAGAAAAATAGCTTGACATCTCTCTGATTCTGAGCTGTTCCTGCTATTGTGATGTTAGGTTAGCTCCCCCTGGGACATTCAACAGTAGCAGCCTTGTTGAGTTAATGTCTGGAGTCCGCATTAGAGTGAGAGAACATTTCAGGATCTAGCTGTTTTTCCTTCCCAATCTGGACACTCCCATGTGAGTAACTACAGGAGTGTAGTGTAATGCTGCCTGCCTGACAGCTCTATACCTCTTCCAGACTTGGAGAAACTAAGGGAAGCAAGCAAGCCAGAATAAGAACGGGCTTTCTACTGGTAAGATCTAAGAAACTGTGGAAGTGCTATTGCTTTAGTCACAGGACATGCCTAGATCAAGAAAATAAACAGTTTTAAAGCATATTAGACAACAAATGTTAATTCACACTTAATGTTCCAATCCAGCCAATTCCACAGGTGAAGTTTCAGCAATATTGTTATTTTATGATAATGCTATAATGCTGAGTTCATGATCAAAACAAAAATGGAGAAGAGTTATGACCAGTCCTATTCTTTTTTGTGAGGAAAGGGACTAGACCTTAATTTCTGTGGTATCCAGCAATATTAGCCAGGCATGTTAGCCTGATGGTTTTTGTGAAATTGTGTACAGCGGGCATGTCTACATGAGATGCTACATCGACATAACAACAAGCTACGGCGACATAGCTCATCACTATGGTGATGTAGCATTGGCAGGTACTAACGGTGATGCTGCCACTACTGTGCAGTAGCAACGAACTACTGAGCAGTAGGGTTGAAAGCAACCCACAGTGCTGGCAGGTACTTTGCAGTCATATAGAACGTGTAGGGGTGCCGTGTGACACATAGTGAAGTGACACTTAGCTCTTAAACCTAATTATGATTGCTCATAAAAACCCTTTTAGAACAACTAATGCCTCTGTTAAGACTGTTGTTTCTGATCACTTTTTCTCAGGAAGGCAGTTCTTTATTTTGGAAGATGACCCAGCTCTCTACTTACTCTCATCAGCCTAAACTGCCCAATCAAGAGATTTTGCAGTTAAGAGACACTTGAGTTATTCTCTCCAAGTAGAAAAAGTCTTGACCCCGATCCAGGAAGTGTGTGACTGGGGAGGAGGGAATCATTAAAGAGACCTCACAAAAGTTAGGGTGGGTGGTTCCCCTGACCTGAATGCCTTCTTCACATTAGTTCTCTGTGACATCATATGACTTTCTCAGCTACACCTACTGTACTTGGGCTCTGCATAAAGTAACAGGAAGTCCTTTGCAGTTTAGGGAGGGAAGGTGCATACCTCTTATCAGTCTCAATCTTGCAAGTCTGGAGTGTCTTTGAATGCTGAAGAGCATTCAGAATCCAAAAAATGTCCTCTCAGGACTTACTCCTTTAAGCCACAAGTTTTAGGCTCTGAAAGGGGCCAACAATTTATTTACAAAAGAAACATCCTGGCCTTTATAGGGACAGAGGGTGCCTAGTGTGGATGGTCATCTACTTTAGTATGGAGGGCGTGGTCCCATCCCAGTGTGAAACCTTTCCCTTGACACCTATGGGAGGGCTTTCCTTGAAATTTATACCAAATATTCCTCTTGCTTCTGCCCCCAAGTTGTCTCTTGACTTCACTATCGCATACTGCTTGTTTTGTCCCAGAGTAGTGGGGCAAGTGTATGTGGAAGATCTGCAGAGGGATACAGATGGTATTCTAGGTCTCTGTAACCATTTCACTGTGCTTAGTGAAATAACTGAAAAATTCAAACAATACAGAGACCTGGCATTCTCTGGAGCAGAAGCAAAGTAATCTAAATATCTTGGTCTTTACGGATAATCTAGTAGAAATTACTATGCAGAAGTAAAACAAAGGAAGCCCTGGCATTTAAGATCAGTACCAAATCACAATTAGCAGCCTGAATTTCAGAATCATTAATCATTCTCAACTCTACTTGAAACAGTACCCCTGAAAACTAATCTTCAGGTTCATGGCACACAAGTACAGGCCTTGCAAAGAACATTTTTTCCAACTATTTAGTTGGTCTAATAAAAGATATCACATTTACCCAAAGAACCTTGCCTGCCTATGTCCTTAGACTAACACAGCTACAACCAACAACCCTGGTTTTCAATGAAAAATTTCTGACTAGATCTGAGGATGTGAAATGTAGAAGGGAAGTGACTGACTTGGCATGCACACTCTCCTGCCATTCTGAAAGAAAGTTAATTGTTTTTGCTTTAAAGAGACTGAATGTTGATACTGCAAGTCTGAAAGCAGTAGGAATTAACCCACTTCGGATGCAGGTTTAGGGAAGGGAAAGAAAAGAGGCCTTATGGGTAAAATGATTCTTAGAATCCAAGGTAATAGGAAATGGAATAGTGTAAGAAGACCAGTGTCAAAGAAGCACAGAAAGGAAGAATTTGTATCTGGCACCAAAAGATCCATGCTACTTTGCCCAGCATATGGCAGAGGTAAATCTACCTGATCCAGGCTATGAATCTACCTGATCCATGCTGAGCCTGAGATAGGATGCAGATCAGACAACCTAGCTTTCACCCACAGTTTAATTTAAAATGTATTAAAGTCAATGGAATAATTATCGCCATCTTAAATAGAAGTGGATCAGAATTCAGTCAGAATGAGAAGTATTCAAAGAGCATACACGGACATGTGGGAAGTATTAAGTATGACTTTTATCTACCCTCTGCCCCAGTTCATGTGGCTCTTTTGGCAAAGGGAGAGAGGGGAGGGTAAGAGTTATTGCAGGAAAACTATGATAGTCTCAGTAATGTTGTAACCTTGATGGTCCAGGAATTATATGGGAGACAAGGATTTTTGGGGGTTGACATATTTTATTGGACAAATGTTTCATAGTTTCATAGTTGGTAGGGTCGGAAGGGACCTAAGCAGATCATCAAGTCCGACCCCCTGCCATGGCAAGAAAAAGTACTGGGGTCAAACAACCCCAGCAAGGTGTTCGTCTAACCTCCTCTTAAAGACCTCCAGGGTAGGAGCCAGCACCACTTTGCTTGGACATTGGTTCCAGATCCTAGCCGCCCTGACTGTGCTTCCTAATGTCTAGCCTAATGTGCTTCCTAATGTCTAGCCTGAACCTACTCTCAATCAACTTGTGGCCGTTATTCCTAGTTACTCCTGGTAATAATGGCATAGTTGGGATAAAGTTAGACAACCTTTGCATTTGAAAGCTTGTCTAAACTTTGGCCCAGTGATGCAGTTGGTCCAATAAAAGATACCAACCTCCAAAAATCCTTGTCTCCCATAAAATTCCTGGACAATCTTTTATTGGACCAACTGCATCACTGGGACAAGGTTTAGACAAGCTTTCAAATGCAAAGGTTGTCTAGCTTTATTCCAACTATGCCACTTGTCCAATAAAAGATATCAACCCAAAAAATCCTTGCCTCTGGCAGGACCATTAAGAAGAGACAACAGTGAGGGAACCAAGAAGAAAGAGAATTACCCCTCATGGCTAACAATGGAAGAGGAAGAGCAAAATCAGAGGAGACCCAGGGTTTTAGTGAGAAGAGGTGAAAACAGAGGAAGAAAAACAGACCAAAAGACTCGGTACATGGGAATATCAAATTGAAACAATTAAGTATGGGAAGAATAGAAAGACACTTGATTCTGTCTTGAAAGATGCAGTTCCCTTTAGGAAGTGATACTGTCAGGAAAGAGAACTAAAGTAACTTTAAAAACAAGACTACAGACTAACTAGAGGGAACAGACATGTTGTGATCTGATGAATGAATAAACATAAAAAGGACACAGTACATTTTATCTCTACTATTTATAGAAAGTTTAGCACCTTCTAAATTAAATACAGAAAACTGTTTTATGCCTTAAGACAGAAGAATGTATGACTTCTGAGAGAAGGTTTGAATCCAGAGGAATCCAATTATTAACTTTTTATTGCTAGGGCTTTTTTTTTACAGCAGTTGCTGCTATGTAAGCAGTTACCTCACATGTTAAGGATGACACCATTTGCACTAAGCTTTCTATTTTCAGAGGTTTGTATTCTTCTGTTGACTTGAGGATGGAGAAAACTTTTCTACATGGCCTGTCAGAAGGTTATGCTGAAATCCTGAGCAGAAAATCCCTTCAGCCACCTGAGTTAAAAAGGGGGAGAAGAATGGGAAACACATTAATCAAATAACTTTTTCTTGTTAAAGCAGATCTATAGCAAAACTAGAAAACTAGCTAAACTTCTGACACAAATACAATTCAGGGAGTGCATCTACATGTGACACTATGGTGCCATTGTTACTGCACCATCATTTAGTACTTCCTTTTGGAAGTACTAAATGATGGCACAGTAACAGCCTGTACCATGCCCCGCATGCTATAGAGTTATTTTTAGGCACAATATGTCATTGTAGTGACGCGCTATAATGGGGGAGCACATCACTACAGCGACATAGCTGCATCACAGTTTTTGTCCGCAGGCCTACATCACCGTAGTGAATTGCTATGGTGATGTAGCATCATGCATAGACGTGCCTAGTGAGGACACATCAGTTCAGGGGATATGTTCTTGCTTTGAGAGTGGTGACCATATGACAATTGTGCACAACAGAAAAAATTAGTATGATTGCCCTTTTTTAATGAAGGTGGGCCCTGCCCTTTTTTAATGAGGGTGGGACAAAAAAAAAGTCCAATGTCGCTAAATCATCTTGGACTTGAAAATTAACCAGGACTCTCACCTCTTCAACCACAATTGTTGGTGATAAGGATTTTGTAGGTCAAAATCTGCCCTCTGCTATCCCTGTAAAAATTTACTGAATGTTGTTCTGCTTCTATTAACTGGACCTGAATTTATTACTGTGATCTCAAGTTGAGCTAAATTTCCCATTAACACCTGTAGCTACCCTCTTTCTTCCCTCTCAGCATTGATTGTCCTTCATAAAATTATACCGTTTCTACTTGGATGCGTATTGCTATAGTTAGGATTCTTAGTTTAGACATTGGGGTTTGAATGTCTTGAGGTAAGTAAACAATCTCTTTATGTGCATGAAAGCTTCTAGCTGTTTTCATTCTCCATGGCAACAGGAGTATAAAGTGATAAGAACTTGTTACTAAAGTCGACTGCATATATGCAGGGAGCAGATGTCATGAGAGAGAAAAACGCATTTTTAGTTTTTCAGAGTAGGACTGCACTCTAAGTCTACGTTGGTGTACATTTTAAAGATAGAGGTATATGTATGCAGATAGGTGCATAAGGCAGGAGCTATGAATCCATAACCTGGGCTAGTGAGGATCCATAAAGTTTTGAACTTTGAACTTGAATGAGGGCCCTCAAGAACACTGCAACCTAGGGAAATAAAGTACCGGTGAGAACTGTGATCTGTATGTTTTCTACAAGAGGTGAGGACTGAGCCAAGCACTTGTACTGCAACCAGATTCCCACTCTTGAAGCCAGGTGGTATTTGAACTTAAGACGTTAATGTTTAAGCGTTTAAGCCTCGTAGTTGCAAAACAATTAAAAACAGTGTGTGTGGACTAAAGTAGTACTGCTTGTAAACTTTAGGAAAGCACCTTGAAATAATTATTCTATTAAGATTTGAAGTGCCTTTCCAGGTTCGTGACCTCTGACTCTCTCACCTTGCTCAGAGCAATGGCATCATCACCTCAGCAAAATATTCTGGGTTTATCTATACCAAGAAAAAGGGATATTAGATGACTTGTGTTAGTTAATTGAATAAACAACTCCTACTTCCCTTGTGTACATGCAAATTAAGACCTTTATACCGTTATTGAAATGGCACATTAGGCTCACCTCTGGGGCAAGCTGAGATCTTCTACCCTGCAGTAAAAAGGTATTGAGCTGCATCTGCCCTCAGGAAAAGACTGTAGTAACCCCATCTTATTCTATTCTATATATACTCTGTGTGAGGGGAACTCCAGCTGCTGCCATCCCGTGATGCAGTGATGCTGGGGACTTTCATAGAGGCCTCTGGGTGACCAAGTATGGAGGCTGCTGCTCACTAAGGTGGCCTCAGCCTCTCTGACAGACTGAGCAGCAGTCAGGGGCTTTACAGTACATACGCAGAATAACTATCCTATATATTTAAAATGGTACACCCCCGAAATATAATTGCAGTTAATTGTTTGTCACTATTAATATATCCTGCTTTAGGAAGCAAGTGAGTTATAGGTATGTGTATACAAGGAAATCTTTATACTAGTATAATTGTATGCACGCAATTACTACTGGTATACTAACTACTACTGGTATACAGCTATTACTGGTATATTAACAGAAAAAGTGTGACTGCCAGTTGAGAGAGCTTTTTTTCCAGTATGGAGCCAGGCCTAAAGATGCGTTATACTGTTAAATAGTTTATTCCTGTATGGGAAGGGGCAGGTATACCTTTCATACTGATATTAACTGCATCTGGTTAATGCCAATAGTAAGTGTGTTATTACTGAACTAGTTATGTGGTGCACAAAGCATGTAGGCCAGGGCTATGATAGAGGAAGGCTCTGCTTGGCCCCAAACGTAGCAGTGGTGGGTCAGTCACAACATCAGGCAAGGGTGAAGGGAAAGGGTCCTAATGGCACTTGCTGGAGTCCCTTAGCCTAACTGCATTTGAGCCCCTTAGTCCTAATTTATTGCTGAATGTAGATATGAAAGAAAAATGAGCTTTTGGTCTAAATAGAGCTGCGTATCTTTTTCAGTTAAGGTGCAACTTCTTTACCAAAGTGTTTTGTTACACCCTCCCCAGTTTGGAGGGTTATTCGCTGGTATAAAGGCATTACTTGTATACGGGTATAAAGGCACTGGTATAAAGACATTACACACTGGCATTACTTTATTCACCTCTCCAAAAGGAATAAGATATATTGGTCTAAAGGCCTTCCTAGCCACTGTGGCCTTGTCACCGTCCGAAGGATGATGCTTTGTGTGCGCTGGGTGGCCCAGCTTCTGTGTGTAGGGGAGACTAAAACTCTGGCAGCGTTGGTTCCCCTGGCCCAGGCGCTGTCTGCACAGGTTTTCTTGCAAGATTAGAGCTGCAGCAACTTCCATGCTAGGGGCAAAAGTCTTCCCCTGCATCACATGTCTCGGCCTGGAGACTTGAGGTTTCCCAGCTGACTCCATCTCATTTCCCCCCTTTTCTATCAACTGATAAGAGTTGGAGGGGTGTGGGGTGGGCTGCTGTGTTGAGAGGGGCTTGTAGCGAATCATTCCCCTGCCCCATTACCCCTGACACGAGGCAGCTGGTCATGCTCCCTGGGGTAGGATGGCTGCCTGCAGTGTGTGTGTAGGTGTAGCATGCATATCGGGTAGTGTGTGTACATGAGTACATATGTGTGTGTAGAGTGTGTATGTGTATGAGTGTATGTGTGCGTGCATGTGTAAGTAGTGTGTGTATGTGTGTACATGACTGTGTAAGTGTAGTGTGCATGTTAGTGTAGTATGCCCATGCATGTAGTGTGCATGTGCATTAGGGTGAGTATATGTGTATGTGAATATGTGTACATATGTGTACATGTGTACCATGTAAACGTATGACTATGAATACGTGTGTACATGTACATATGTATGTGAATTTGCACGGATGTGTACTTACATTATGTGTATGCTAGTGTACATGTACGTGAATGTATGTGTACGTGTATACGTGTGTGCGCCAGAACCTCCGACTAACGACGGGCTGCGGCGCTGCCAGGTTGTGCCTCGCCGCGCCGGGTACTTACGGTAGCGATGTGGCGCGCGCGGCGCGTGGCGGTAGTTACGGTAGGCGCGCCGCGCGGCGCGTCGCCGGGGGGGGGCGGGGGTACATACGTGCGCGGGGGCGGGGCGAGGCGGCGCTGC